GCTATTCACAGCAAACTCAAGAAGAATCAAGTATCTTCTCTGTCCACAATGACTTGAAATTAGAAATTAACAACAAAAGGAAAACTGGAAAATTCACGAACACAAGGAAATTAACACTCTCCTAAACCAACCAATGGATCAAGAGAGAAATTAAAGGGGAAATAAAAGTTTCTTGAAACAAATGGAAATACAACATACCAAAACCTATGGAATGCAGCAAACACATTTCTAAAAGGGAAGTTCATAGCAATAAAGATCCCAAATAAAAACCCTAATTCTATTATCTTAAGGAACTAGAAAAAGTAGAGCAAACTGAACCCAGAGTGAGCAGAATAAAGGATACATGTCAAGTCAATAAAATCAGTATTAACTACAATCCCATTTCACTAGAGAGGGAACTGCCTCGGCAGAGGGGGTACAGCTCACGCGGCTCATCCTACCCCTGCAGGTCCCACAGCCCGGAGTGCGGTGTGGAACCTTAGCTGCGTGGGTCTTTTCTCAACCTGAGATGAAGAAAAGTGAATTCCCACATACAATGGACGCCTCAGGGTCTTAGGGCTTAATTATCTTGTGAAAGCTAGAAAGACAGCCAGATAAGGCAGGTAAAAATGATTATTTTCTTCCCCATGCTGATGAGTCCTGGCAAATTCTTCCTAGATGGGGGATGACGATCTTAGAACACGGGCCAGCTGGGCATCCATGGAGCCTCAGACTCTCTCCCAGTAAAAGGCTTTGTTGTTCTTCAGCTTACTCACTGGCCAACACCATGCTGCAAAACAGATGCTCTCATAATCTCAGAGCAAACATTCCGCCCACGATGAAAACCTTCAGGCGTGAAAGCATAATGGAGACCCACACCAGGCTAAGGAACTGACACCACGCCGTAAGCTTCAGGCCCGAGACAAATGCAGTAAGACTTCAAGGAAATCGCATTTCGGTCAAAAGAATAAATGTAATCTTACTAAAAAGGTGATTTTGAGTCAGGTACTATTCTGCCTCTCCTTCTTCCTGATGATTCATTTTTAGGGTGCGAGGTTCAAAGGGGCAGGTAAAGGTCGATCTGCAGAAGGACAGTCACAGTGGCATGTGGAGAGGAGAGAAGCAGGCCCGAGACAAGGTGACCTGCTAGATGACCAGTGCAGCATATTCCCGGCCAGAAAGTGTGACACTTTCAGTTAGAGTGGCAGCAGCCAGAGAGCTGAGCAGGGCCGGACCTGAGGGGACTGAGGACACAGGCTGGTGTGAGGAGGCAGGACAAGCAGTCTGACCGCTGCTGGCCGGGTGGCGAGCGAAAACCGCGCCACCGCAGATACACAGGCTGAGGACCGGGTCTGAGGAGCAGACACCGCGGAGCGTGCTCAGGAAGCGAGGGGCTGGCAAGTTATATATTCTAAATAGAGGAGAATATATAAAAATAACAGTATGTCAGGATAGTGGAACTATGGGTTGTTTTCCTCTCCAATGAGGCAATTTTCATACCTTGTTTTTTCAAAAACAGGAACTTTAAAGCCTCAAATGCCCATAAATATTTATCAGTTACCCATAAAAATGGAAAGCATATTATATGTTTTTACACAGGGAACAGGAAAGAATCTCTGCAATTAAGGAAATTACTATCTGAAGACAACAGGAAGACACGAGAAATAACAAACACGCGGATAGAAGTGTCACGGGCTCACTGGAGCGGAGGAGGCCTCGTGCTTTTGTTCGACGACGACCGAGATGGGCTTCTAACGAGGTTCTGCAGAAGCAAAGTCGCCCCAGGACGAGCTATGGCGCAGGCAGCAGAGCGTGCAGGCCGCGTGGGAGGTAAGCGGGCTTCGCCTGGCAGTACAGGCCACCGGTCAGGTGACGCGTGAGATGACAATGGAACGTCAGTCAACGGAGGGGACGAAGTAGGTCAGCAGTGCAGACTATATGGGCCCAGTGCTCCGAGCTCAGGGGTTGGTCTTTATTCTCTGCAGTTCTTAGCTTAGTGGGAACCTTCCCTCAGTTTTTATCGAGAAGGTAAAACAGAAATTACCCAATGGGCCCTGGTTGGTTTGGCTCAGCGGTTAGAGCATCAGCCCACAGACCAGAGTCTCAGGTTTGATTCCAGTCCAGGGCACGTACCTCGGTTGTGGTTCGGGCCCTGGCCCTGGTCAGGGTCATGTGGGAGGCAGCCAGTCGATGTGTCTAACATCAATATCCTCCCCCCCCCAATCCTTCCACTGGGGGAGATAGAAACATTGATGAGAGAGAACATCAACTGGCCGTTTCCTGCACGCCCCCCACTGGGGATCGGGCCCACAACCTGGGCATGTGCCCTGACCGGGAATCGAACCAACGACCTCTTGGTGCAGGGGTCGACGCTCAACCACCGAGCCACACAGGCCGGACAGGACAGCCCCTTTATAGGGAATGAAACTGGGACAGAATACATGTCGTGTGACTTGCCCAGGTCTCCCAGCTACCAGAATTGAACCTGGACAGTGTCACAACAGTTTAACCACTGTGCACTACTGCCTCCAATTTTAAAACTGAGTTTTTAAACGTTGCCGTGTGAACCTGTTTCTCTTTCAGTTCCTGCTACAGATAAACTGGGTGCTTCTGGGCTGTTTCAGCAGAACTATCTAAAGGCTTCTGTCCTGTCCCCTTGCGGAATCAAAACCCTCCCCAAAATGCTTTACGTTGTTACTCGAGCAACTCAACCGCATTCGACGGCAGCAGTGACATTCTGCGCGTTTGGCCTTGGGTGGCCGAACGACGTGGACGGGCCAGCCACTGCATCCCGACACTGATAACAGCAGTAAAGGACACCAGGGCACTCTCCTTATCGCAGACGGAAAGCTGAGAGTGGGCACAACTGTCAGGGCTGCTTCCTGTCAGGCTGTGTGACTAACGGGAGGTGCGGAGTCCCTGGGTCCTGATTCCAATCACTTAATTGCACTATCCACTAACAGGTAAAAAGAGGATGCCCCATTCAGGCGGAGTGAATGACAGCAGTGTTCCATCCGCGTTTCTGCCTTGTCTGGGGGAGGAGCTGAAACCTGAGCCAGCAGGTAGGCTCATCTCCACCTCTCCTGGGTTATAGTGAACTCTGAAGCACACAAAAAGTGTGGGGTTTTTTGGCCTGATCTTCTAACTCTGTAGCCATTCAATTACTTAGGGCACAGAGAAAAGCCAATTAAGTTGGTCATTTGAGTAAGCAAAAGGGCAGAAGTCTGGTTAAGTAACATGGCAGGAAGCTGAAAGTCTCTGAGTTGTTTCTCAGGTATGCTTTTCTTGACTGTTTCCCTAGAAGTCTCAAGTCTTTGGGGTCCTGAAGTTACATCTCTCTTAAAATTACTTTTCCATACAGAAGCCTTCATTTCCATAGCTCACAATAAGGTCAGGAGAGGATGTCCCAGCTAGGTATTAAGAATCAGGAGTCTGCCCTGGCCGGTTTGGCTCAGCGGTTGGAGCATCGGCCTGCGGTCCTGAGAGACCCGGGTTCGGTTCCCGCTAAGGGCGCGTACCTCGGTTGCAGTTTGTCCCCGGCCCTGGTCGGTTGTGCGGGTGGCAGCCACTCGATGTGTCTCTTTCACGTCGATGTTTCTCTCCCTCTCTCTCTCTCTCTCTCTCTCTCTCTCTCTCTCTCTCTCTGTTCCTCTCTCTCCCTCCCACTCTACCTGAACAAAAAATGGAAAAATGTCCTTGGGTGAGGATAAAAAAAAAGAATCAGGAGTCTGCCCTGGCCAGTTTGGCTCAGCGGTTAGAGCGTCAGCCTGCGGTCCAGAGAGACCCGGGTTTGGTTCCCACTAAGGGCACGTGCCTTGGTTGCGGTTTGTCCCTGACCCTGGTTGGGTTGTGGAGGAGGCAGCCACTCGATGTGTCTCTTTCACGTTGATGTTTCTCTCTCTCTCTCTCTTCCTCTCTCCCCTTCTCACTCTATCTGAACAAAACATGGAAAAAAAAATGTCTTCAGGTGAGAATAAAAAAAAAAAAACAGAATCAGGAGTCCAGCACTGTACCCCACTGGGAGGTGAAAAGCGGAGAGGAATGCAGAGAAGTCTTGACCCCACGCTTACTGCTATTTAATCTCTGCCCCGGGGGGTGAGGGGCGGGGGGGTGGAGTGTTCGCGTCCAGCACATTATACTGACAGTGTTTAGACTCTGGTCTTATCCCAAGAAAAATGAGCAGTTCCTCCTAGAACTAGATGAACAGTTTTTGTCTCCGGCTGTTGCCTCGGCATCATTTATACACACACCTCCACTTAGGTTATGTGAAGCTGTCAGCATGCACGGAAACCTGCAAGGGCAAGGGAGTCAGCCTTCCAGTGAGCATCCCAGATCAGGCTGGGGCTGACGCGAAAAGCTGGTTCCCCGAGGCAGCGGTGCCCACAGGCAGCCAGTCTGCCCCAACACGGTGGCCGAGGTAGGGAAGGCAGTATTGTCTCTTGCACGAATCCTGAGGACTCTTCCAGGAGGGACAAGGACTACAACACAGGCCAGCCTGGCACAGCAGCGCCAGGTGGGTCCTGACTCTCCATCAACCCCATCAAAGGGTGCAATCGGCACAGATGCGCCTTCTCCGCCCCCTACTCCTGTGAGCAGCGTCCTTCCCACTCCACACTCCCTGCTCACGAACCACCCCGAGGAGGTGCACCAGGATCACTGCCATCAGAGAGGGAATTTGCTCTCCACCCTTCAACATGAAAGTGGTTCAGGAAAGAACGTGACGGAACTATTGAACGGGAATCCACACGATGACAAAAAGCATTCTGTCCCCCTCTCCAGGAAGAAGAATGTTTTGGTCATCAGCAGCTCTGCTAGGCTCAGTCAGATCAGTGCCAGGAATTCTGTGAACTTCAGGTCAAGCTGCCAAGACTCCAAAGAAATGTCGATAGTGAGTGTTTGCACAGACGCAGCAGCAGGGCGAGCTACCAGCTGCCGGCCTGCGCCTCCAGCCACGGTGCACACAGGCACACCCACCGCCCCTCTGCCCCTCGCCCGGCAAAACTTTAGCAAAAGGCTCTTACCTAGCTCTCCCCGGAGGGTGACCAGTTCTTGAGATAGGGTCTTGTGTTGTTTCAGTGCTTCCTCCCGCTGCGGAAAACAAACATCGAGTTACTGGTGTTTGAAAGAGGGTCCCTTTCAGTAAGGCACACATGCGTTATCACCAGAAAAAGGAGACTCAGAACTGAGAAACCGAGATAGGCATCACTTAGGCTAACAGTTTGTGTTTTCAAAAACACAGATGTCCCTGAGTTGTCAAGGAAATTCATGTTTCAGAATCTGTATTTTCTCAGGGTCTCGTGAAACTTTCATCCGAGGCCCAGAGAAATGTTTACTCTGAGCCCCGCTGAGCTGCAGGACCTCTCAGCTGATGCACACTGTGCCGGAGACGTAATGCAGCTCCTCCAAGGGCAATAAAGACCTAATCAGTTTAAGATAAATATTTAATGTTCTAAACATGTGCGCTGGTATGCACTTTGTCCTCATTCGCAAATTAAAAAAAAAAGTTGCGTTACAATCCTTCACTTCTAAAAGGAAGACACAAAGTTTGTTACAAAGCTCAGGTGAAGAAATAATCTTTCCGAAACAAAATTAAATTGATTTCACTCAGCCACACATTACTTTCTGAAGATTATAATATTTTGAACCAGCTATAACTCTAAGTAGATGCTAGATGAATCAAAGAAAACCAAGCAGCTCATTCAGTAGTAACAAAGCAATTATCAATCTTGAAAAAAAAAGAACAATAATTTCCCAGTGACCAGCAACTTACAGCAATCCCCCATTTGCACACACTTGTACAAATTCAGCAATTAGACACCGTTTCTCATCAGGCAGAGCCCCAAGCAGGGTGCAAGGAAGGAAAAGGCAGAAGTCAAAGCTCTCCAAAAATGCCCTCCCAGGATCAGCCCAGACGGAGCCCTGCCGCACCTTGATCACAGTGTTGCAGAGATCATGAGACCAGCCTCTGCAGGCGAGAGTCGCTTGTCATTTCAAGCATTTCCCCCGAATCCCAGACAACCTCTGCCTTAGTCCCTGACACTCGTCCAGAAAAGCACTAGAAACAAATACGAATTACCCTTGTCGCTGCACATGGAGAATAGAGGCACATTTTGCTGCTGGGGCAGCCCATTTTCCAGCTTCTGTCTCCAACACCCCCCTCCCCCTGCACTGGCCAAGAGGTGCACAGGTGGCCACGCCACCCACCAGTCGGCCTGTCTACATTCAAAGCTCTACCAGGAGGAGCGCCATTGGTCCCGGGTTAGCCTTACTTCACGTCCTGCAGGTTACTGTCTGCCCCGGCGCCTCTCTGCACAGAAGCTGATGCCGCAGCTAGTGCCTTTGGCACAGGCAGCCTGCGATCACTTAAAGCCACAGCCCTTCATTTATGAAAAACGAGAGCCAGACATTACACTGATCGATTGCCACTTACTTCAATATCAGCTGGTACAGTGGAAAGAAAAACAGACCTTCTCTGCATGGATAATGGAGTTATTTTTAGATCTGTGAGCCTTTGTATTCCCCTCTCTAATTGAGGTCATTAGATTATCACCCTTACTAATAGAAAAGGGAAACCTGGTCTCTGACACCTGCGTGTGGAATGCGCTTATGAACCAGGTGAGTAACAACGAAAGCCTATGTGTTGTGACTTTGAATTTAAAGTGACATTACACATGGGGGTAATGGGGGGAAAAGAGGGGACATCTGTAATACATTCAACAATAAAGATGATAATTTAAATATTAAAAATTAATTAAAAATTTTTAAAAATAAAATGACATTACACAACGAACAGTGTTTTCTGCAAAATTTAATCTGAATGCTTAGAACATGGTCCTCTGGTGTTTTAAGAAAAAGTGTGAAATTCTGCTTTGAGAGTTGGAGTTAACACACTAGCACTGTCAGATGGACAGTTAACAGAGACTGGAATTTATGAAACACTTTCTCATTGAGACATTTTGGCCTCAATGGTACTCTAAATGCTTGACTTTTAAAATGCAGTACTGAGTTGTTCTGAAATCACAGATTAGTCCAGGTTTTGAAAACAAACAAGTAGTGGGGTTTTCTAATACAGAAATTAAAGTTTGAGGAAAAGCAGCCAGGATAAAATTAGAAAACTGAAAAATACATATACTATATACTTTCCTTAACCTCATCAAGCTAAGCCTTAATTTTGTTTGTCTGGTAATCTGGTTCGGCAAGTACCAGCAGCTTTGCCACTGAAGCAACAAGAAAATCAGAAGACAGCTTCACTAGATGCTCCCAGGCAGCCCTGCAACACATTCAGTGAACTGGCTTATAACCCACTTTTCTTGATGGTAACTCAATTGCTAGTGGAAAGAAAAGCTGCTTCAAATGTCCATAAAAAAAAAATTGGCATATAATTTCCAGGACTCATTTTGTGAAAATGTTTACACCCTATCACAGATATACATCAGCTGATCATTTTGCTCATTAAAGGGACTTTGGGGACAAGGAATTCCAGTACCATGTGGACATTTCTCCCAACTCTACTGCACTCAACCCTCCTGCCCTCCGTGCCCAGAGCCATGGCTAGCTTCCAACCTCTGTCAACTCCAGAAACAGTGACAGGAAAACCGTGAGGTCATATTTGACTCTTCTTTGTCTAAATGGGTGTGCCAACGTCAGTCTGTTTTCCCTTCCTGACGTGTCTTGAATGGCTCTTTTCTATTAGTGCCACCTCCACGCAAGTCCTGATCCTTGCCAACCCATTCCTGGGCTATCAAAGTCATCCCTCCACACTACCTTGCAGGGGGTTGTTAGATTATCCCATATTCCTTGTACATATAAACACATGAGTCTTCCATTGAATGCAGTTTTTAAAAAATCACCCTAATTCCATGAACCTCAATCATGCACCTGCTGTTTAGACTCCCGACTCCTCCTGTCCAAGTCATGCTCGCCACGCATGTCCCACCTGCACACTCTGGAATGCCTGGTCTGCTTTACCTGACCCGTTACATAAACCTTCGGGGAATGCTAAATGTCAACCACAGACATCATCCCCATTCCCCAAATGCCTAGACAGGACATTTATCCTTCTGAGTTGGCTGGCAAATTATTACTCAATACCAATGAACCAAGCACCATTCCAGATGCTGGGAAAAATATGAGAGAAATTTAAGACATGATCCCTGTCTTCGAGAAGCTTGGCACCTAGGTCAAACTAAAACGTCCAGGTCCAATTCTTTCATCATGCCTCAAAGCAGATGACCTCATCTGAGGGGAAGCAGTACAGCAATGGAAAAACCAAGGGCTTTCAATACGATTCTATGGAATGCTGACCACAGTGCCCATAACAGGCACACACTGTTTGTGTCTCCGCCCGACTCTCCCTGGTAGCTTGTCCTTTAAGATACCTACCCTTTAGTTACAGATGATAAAATAAATGTGTTTTGTCACTTAGATACTAACTGCCTATTTCTTTTTATTCAGCTGCTCCCATTTCAGTGCTTCTGTCTTAGATAATGAACTACAGTCCAGATAACAGGTTTATTTCATTCTCTTGGTAGCTTAACATGCAGAATTTCACACAATGTGAAAAAAGAGGGAGGTGGGACTCTGGATAGAAAAATGCTTTTATACTCATACATTAAATAAAGGAAGTGCTCAAAAAAAAAAAAAAAATGGATTCACCATAATTTAATTAGGAATCCCTGGGACACAGGCACTTAATCTTTGGCCGGCGTCCCATCAACAGGCCTGGCTCAGCGGCTGCTCAAAGGCGCAGCAGCACAGGGGTTGCAGGAAAGAGCCACGTCCAACAGCGCAGATTGGGCAGTGTCTGCCTTCTTCCCCCGCGCCCACGTGATGGGTTTTGTCTGCTTTTTGCTGTTGTTCTGAGACTATTTTACTTATAGTAGACTGCTAGTATCATTCAAAATTCACCTTTGTTTAGGCGCTATGTTAGGGTAGATTCCTCCGGTAAAAACAGAATTGGATGCACCCTGGGTAATCAGTCAGGGGTTGGGGTGGGGGGTGACCTCGGTCCTGTTCAGGCTTCCCTAGAAACTCATTCACAGACCAGTTCATGAAGACAGCAGGGTTGCTGCCAACACCATCCTTCATGGGGACAGACTGTACAGAAGGCTGCAGCTACAGAGGATAAAGGAGAATTAGGACCCAAACCATAGTATCTTCTCAGAGAGGTAGGAAGTGTGGTATTAGTTTCCAGATTTACGAGACACTCCATAGAGTTTCTGGTATGTAATGAATTGTGTCTGCCACTGAAATGGGAAAGTTGTAGTTATTAAATAGATTTGCAGCAAAAGGATAAGTTAATATTCCAGTAACCAACCATTTTTACCCATAATCTAAAGCTCCAAACCAATGAGAAAAAGTCAGCAATAACAAGACATACATCTATATACAGACCAATCTACATCTACAAAATCTATTATCTACCCATCAACATATCAATCAATCAATCACTTCTGTAATGGAAGGTTAAGAGAAAATCATTTTGAAGTAATTGCTTAACTTTTCCTTCCCAGCTGTTTTATAACAGTGCCCTGTACACATCAGGCAACCAGTAAATGTTTGCTGATTGGTTATAAAGAGCGAGCAAAAAACATTACATAAAGACTTCGTACGTTCAACTCACATCTGGGATTCCACCCTCACTATCCATCCCCTTGTTCAATCAGGTACACACTGTGTGTCTATCATGTATGAGACACGCCATAGCTGCGGGGTGGCCTCCAAGAAGAAACTAGACACGGGTCTTGCCCTCAGTGGGCTTCCTGTCTTTTTTTATCCTTACCCGAGGACATTTTTCGATATTTTGCTCAGATAGAGTGGAGGGGAGAGAGGGGAAGAGAGAGAGAGAGAAACATTGACGTGAAAGGGACATATTGAGTGGCTGCCACCTGCACAACCCAACCAGGGCTGGGGACAAATTGCAACCGAGGTACATGCTCTTAGCAGAAATCAAACCCGGGTCTCTCTGGACTGCAGGCTGACGCTTCAACCGCTGAGCCAAACCAGCCAGGGCGGGTTTCCTGTCTTAAAAAGCAAAAACAAGGGCTAAGTGGTTATCTATAACATGAGGCAGAGAGTGACAAATGTAAGTGCTCTTGGAGCCCAGACAACAGATAGAACACAGAACTAGAAGGACCGAGAAAGTAGTCATGAAAGGGAGATTTTAGCTGGGTTTCTATCTTTTATTAAAAAAAATTTTTTTTTATTGATCTGAGAGGGAGGGGAAGGGAGAGGGAGAGAGATAGAAACATCGATGAGAGAGAACATCAATTGGCCGCCTCCTGCATTCCCCCCACTGGGGATTGGGCCCACAACCTGGGCATGTGCCCTGACCGGGAATCAAACTGGCAACCTCTTGGTGCATGGGTCGACACTCAACCACTGAGCCACACCAACTGGGCTTAGCTGGATTTTTAGAAATCCGGTGCAGTCACAATTCATGGGCATCAGGACCCAAATGAGGCATAAGATGAAATTCACATCCAGTAGAAGTGGCCCTAAAACTCATTAAGAATTTGCCCTGCGGTGACGGACAAAGTACCTCTCAGCATGCCCTGCCCTGTGAGGCTTTCTTCTAGTGTGGGAACTGGGCTTTCTCCAAATGAGCGCCTCAGAGGCCAGGTCATCGGGGAAGAGAGTGTCTTTAAACACCAGGATCATACAGTGTGGAAGGCTCTGCCCACGCGGCGTTTGGGGACGGAGAATGGAGCTGAAGGAAGAGCTGACTCCAGTCTTTCATCTCACACCCACGCCTGGGCCTCTGCTCCCTGAGGGGCATGAAAGGCAGAACGGCCTGACCTATTTAATCTGCATTTTTAACTTCGGCTGTCTGTCCAATGAATCTGACAAATATACTGTAAATCAAATGCAGCTAGTGATGGGATGCTACTATAAGAGCTGAGCATGTGTGTGTCCGCAGGAAAGGTAGCAGTAGCCTAGTAATGGTATTTGAACAAAGGATGAAAAAGCACAAGATGTTCGTAGGGGATTTTGAGTTCGTAGTGTCCCAGACCTGGGTTCAAGTCCTGATCCTCCTCTTACTAGCTGTCTGACGATAGTCCAGTTTCCTAACGGCTCCATGCCTCGATTTTCTTATTGATAAATTCCAACTTGTGATTTTGGAGAGCATTTAATAAGTAAGAATGTCTGGTGCTGAGTAAATATTCACCGAATGTTACGTCCCTTTGCTTCTTTCCCTCCCCAACTACAAGCGGAGCATAGGGTAGTGAGGGTAAGGTCAGAAAGGGCATTTGGGGCCGAATTAGAGTCTCCTATCCCCGGTTATACACCAGGGTCATCCAAAGGAAACACAATGGGAGCCATGTACGTAATTTTAATTTTCTAGTAACCACCATTTTAAAAAAGTTTAACAGAGTATGTCCAAAATATTTTCATTTCAACTTGTTAGTGGCTAGAAAATTATTGAGATCGTTTACATCCTTCTTTTTTTCCATACCACGTCTTCAAAATCCATGTGTATTTGACATTTACTGTCTATCTCAGTTCGGCCTGACGACCCTTCCAGTGGTCAAGAGCACCATGAGGCTAGTGGCTGCCGCCTGATGGGTCAGCTGGAGGAGGAGGAAGAACCACGGAAGGTTTGTCAATAGAGTGCAAGTCTTTGGGAAGATGAATCTGTCACAGTGCTGGGGGTGGATTCGAGGGGAGCGCGCAAGTCTGAAGACTGGTTAACAAGTTGTTATCAGGGGGACAGTTACCCAGGGTCTGCACAGGGCTGGCCTCAGTAGGAAAGGAGAGAGGGGTGACGAGAGAAAGGCTGTGGGATTGGAGGTCACAGAGCTTGCTGAGTGATTTGTGGGAGAGGAGGGGGGAAAAGAGTTGAACACAAGATTGTGAGGTTGGGCACAATAAAATGAAGAACTGGTGTAGGTACAATTAAAAAGACAAACTAATTGTTCCCTAAATGGAATAGTATGTGGTTTCCAATTTAGCTCACTTGGTTATATAAACAAACTCTAGAATTCCTTCCTTATGTATTAGAGAAAAGCAAAAATATAGTATACTGCTACAGTTTAAAAACTAGGCAAATGTCTCCATCTCCCTCTCAAAATAATATATTTGGACAAAGTTATCAAATGTTCATCAAATATTAATCTAAACTGTCTACTAGCTTGGTAGCTTGTCCAAGGCACAGACCAAGTCACTTGCCCCTGTGTCCCCTGCCCCGCCCAGACCACCATATCGCAGAAACCTCTGTGGGAAATAAACACGGGAACAGAACTTTAGAACGAGCACACGGAACTGTTTCCTCCTGAGATGTCATGCACACCTACTTTAAAACTGATTACAAAGTAGCTAAAGAACCCAAGTTATAGTCTCACCCCAGTGTTTCCCCTTCGATAATAGTTTTTGTTGCTATGCCAGAGCATATGTTCACAGAAACTTGGTTTTCTCAATGAATTTTAATTAGTTCCTGAAATGACACCCTTGTAGCATATCAGCAAAGAGTAAGCAAGCAAAGAAAATCTGCTTTGCGTTTGTTGTACCACAAACTATTTTAGGAATGGAATTCTGAAGAGTCCCCAGACCAATACTGGGAGTCACCTCCAAAGTGTTCTTTGACCTGTAAATATAATCAACCTCATTTTTCAAAGCATTAAACTAGGTGTGATATGGAAAGCTACACAGAGTTAGATAAAAAATTAAGTGAGCCCTGGCCAGTTTGGCTCAACGGTTAGAGTATCGGCCTGCAGTCCAGAGAGACCGGGTTCGGTTCCCGCTAAGGGCACGTACCTCAGTTGCAGTTTGTCCCCGACCCTGGTTGGTCGTGCGGGTGGCAGCCACTCGATGTGTCCCTTTCACGTCAATGTTTCTCTCTCTCTCTCGCTCTCTCTCTCTGTTCCTCTCTCTCCCTCCCACTCTACCTGAACAAAAAATGGAGAAATGTCCTCGGATGAGGATGAAAAAAAAATTAAGTGAAAAAAATGATACTCTTGCCCTGGCCAGTTTGGCTCAGCAGTTAGAGCGTCAGCCTGTGGACTGGAGAGTCCTGGGTTCGGTTCCCACTAAGGGCATGTACCTCGGTTGCGGTCTGTCCCCGGCACCGGTTGGGGTCGTGTGGGTGCCAACCACTCGATGTGTCTCTCTCACATCAATGTTTCTCTCTTTCTCTCCCCACCCCCTCCCACTCTATCTGAAGATAAATGCAAAAATGTCCTCGGGTGAGCATAAAAAAAAAAAAAAAAGATACTGTTAATATAGTCTGGAGATGCACAGAGGTATAACACACAAATACGTTTTCATGACTGTCGGTCTAAGAGCCTCTATTTAGAGAAGAAAAAGAAGTACCTACTAGAAATGTTTTCATTCCAAATAAATCAGGTATCAAGTGAGTGGCAAAAGCATAACTGGATGAATTACATCTGATTTTACCGATCACCAACATAAAGATATTCACAAAACAAACCATGAACACTGCTCCCCTCCCTCCACCTCGGCGAAAACGACTGCCTGGGGGCACCCGCCCTCACCTCGGACAGCAGGTGCTGAACCACCACGGTGAGCGCCTCAAACCTGGTGTTGCCGCAGGAGACCAGCTGCTTGAGGCGCAGGACAAATCTGCTCTGGTTTTCACATTTCGTTTTACACTGAGCCAACTCGAGCGCTTCCTCAGAGGAGAGCGCGTCTGGCGACGTCTGCGTTTGGATACATGAACTTCTGGGAGTCTTCTGTCTGCTGTGTTCAACTGCAAGAGGAATTCATAATAGGTAGTAAAATACATGATTGTGATTTTTACAATAATCACCATATGCATTCAAATACAACTAGATAAGCCGCAGAAATGCATTTAAGTCATGTTCACATAAGGAAAGCATAAGAATGAGAACTGGAAGTAATCAACTATCTAGATGTTTGGAATTCATAAACACAGACAATGGCTTTAATTTTGACTTTCAAAGATTTCTACGGGGCAGAGAATTAGCTCCATGAAACAAATAGATTTTGCAACCCAGAAACAGGAAAATTGTGTGCAAAATAATGTTGAGTTCATAGCTTCTCATTCCCTAGGTAATTTGGTACAGAAACCTGTCACAATGACTCTAGCTCTATATTCTGGTCACAAATTCTGTAAGAAAAACACAAATCATTGGATTTTAAATGCCTTTCCCTCCTCCTACACATTGTTTTTTATAAACTTCCCACCCTTTTCCTGCCGGTGGCCTGGTCATTGCAAAGATTTATACTGCAGACAAGTCATTTCCTAATCTCTAATAAATCATCATGTACATTGAAAATCTTACTCACATTTTGTCCCTTATCTTTGTTAGTTCATTGTTAAGAGTACTATACTCTTGACTACACTATTTTAATTTCTATCAAACATACATACGCTTTGCTTGTTTTTTCCCCCTTCCAAGTAGCAGTAATAGCTTAAATCTTTTTTAAAAGCACACCTGGGATACCATCCACGTGATCATTCGCCTTCTATGCCACGGTGCCCTGGGAGTTACTCTATTTTAAGTGGAAAACTGTTCCATTTTGGAGCCATTCCAAATGTCTCCGTCACTTTAACTATCAGACAGAGTTGGAAAAGCAGGAAACAAGCAGCTTAGCTTTTTGAAATAAGTAGGCCAAATAATCAAAACAAATCTAAATCTAAAAAATGAAAAGCTACAAGAAACTACAACACCCGAGTGTTTCCTTGTTCTCGCAGGCACCCACATTCTGTGGTAACAGACAGACAGAGGCAACGTGAACAGGAATCCTTTTCTCTCGTTTTTCAGGGGGAGGAAACTAGTGATTTCTTGAAGGGAAATAAACAAAGAAACCTCAGCATCATGTTCCAAGAACCAAAGGAAAAAATGCACTCAATATACTCTCTAAGCGAAAAACAGAAAAAAAGGCTTTTATTTTCTACGGTTGCTTTCCACAGTTAACTCATATTTGTATTAATGCTTGATAATTCTCAGTTCTATTTATTTATTTATTTTTATCCTCACCCGAAGACATTTTTCGATATTTTGTTCATATAAAGTGGGAGGGGGAGAGAGAGAGAGAAACATTGATGTGAAAGGGACACATCGAGTGGCTGCCACCCGCACAACCCAACCAGGGCCGGGGACAAACTGCAACCGAGGTACGTGCCCTTAGTGGGAACCGAACCTGGGTCTCTCTGGACCGCAGGCCGACGCTCTAACCGCTGAGCCAAACCGGCCAGAACTAATTCTCAGTTCTAAAATGAATAAAATATCTATTGTGTTTTAAAATTACTTAAAAGAGGGGGAGAACATTTATCCATTATACTTTATCAGTAATCATTAATAGTTGTCTGTCAATAATTGCCAATTCCCTAGCAGATGGAGAAAGTAACTAAGTTAATAGTCATTAAATTCAAGTCCTAAAGGAAGAACTTTATCGAATTACTATATTAATGAAAAAAACAATCTATTTTACAACATGTCAAAATATATGAGCTTAGTATTACTTTATTTCATGTCACTTCTTAAAATGTTCTTAGAAATTACATTTTTCCTACACATATAATAATAACTATATAGTGTTTTAGTGTTCATATTGTGTCTCAATTTCCTCTCTTTCCACCCTCCCCGTCACCCTTGGTCGGGAAGGTGACATTAAAGGCCCAGGTGTAGATAGCTTCTATGGGCAGATTCCAGGTCAGGACCTAGGCTTCAGAAGCCAAGCCTCTACCGTTCCCACGCATTTTGGAAAGTGGAGATGGTATGGACGTGTAATCTATGTCGTAACTAAAACTAAATGTCTATGCAATAATCTTAATAAAATGTTACTTTGATACATTCAAGCCCATTATCTGAGAACTGTTCACTTCAATAAGCCTACATATATAAACATCTATGTTTTATACAGTGTTTTATATATTTTATACAAACAGAACAGCAATAAAAGTTTTTTATTCTTTAACCATCCGAAATTTATGTGGATATAAGTTCATTCTCCTGGTTGATATCATCACTATATATCTTACCAATACTTATTGAAATATTCATTTATTTATTGATACATTGCTTTGAGTTAATAATTTCTTGACTCCTTAACAATGTTTTTCTTTCTAGAATTTATATGCTAATCAATGCTATACTTTAACACAATATCAAAGTTTGAAAATTGTTAGGTTATAATTATTTACAAAATCTGAGTGGTAAATCTTTCATATTGACATTTTTAGAGAAAACATTCTTTAATATTCTTATCTACTTAGTCTTTAAGAAGAATTTTAGTATTCAGTAGTAAGTTCTAATAAGTTATTTCATAAGAAAATGTAATATACTGAATTAAATGTAAATTAACAATATTAAACATTGTTTTTCACACTCAGGTTCAGAATACAGGTACTCCCTTTATAGCACCAAATTTTACATTTTCCTTCAAATCATCTCTTACACCAAAGTCAGGCCATAGTTAAGTATTTACATCTGGCTCCTTTGTGAGCAAGTTTTTTTCCCATCATATTTTCAAATTTTTAAAAAATTTAACTTACAACTCTATGGAAAGTATCTATTAGCAATAATGTCTGCCTAAATTCCCTGTTTCTCAATAGATATAAAGTGTATTTTTTTAAAATATATTGACATCATGCTATGAATCTGTCAATATATTTTTTAAGTATTTATAAATCGAGTTAGTATTGCAGACTCCTTATTAGGTCGCTGAATCCATTATGATTTCTGACTGATTTTTATGTTAATTTGATAAATGTTGTTAAAGGCTTTTCTGATGCCATAGTGACTTCAAATCCCCGAGACGAGCTCTTACGTCTTTCGGATGCACTGATGGGACAGTGGACGTGGTTCCCAACTTGTTGCTGAGAGACTGGCATCGGGACATTTCCTTTACTGAATTTCAGATGTTTTAGCTTCGGGTAACAAAATGCACTTGTGCTTATAAAAGTCCTACTGTATTTCCATATTTTGAAACTATGAAGTATGTCAGGGCACATACAGTCTTTGAAAGTTTAGAAAGTTTTCTAGGACCCAAAACTACATTAAGAATGCTGCTAAGGTCCCTCCCGAATGAACTGAGTCACATTTGCTGCGAGGCAGCCTGGAAAACAACTGTCCACGTGCGGCTGTTCCCAGGTGCTAGCGCCGGGCCCCTGGCTGCTCTTCCTTTGTGCTGGGCCTGGGGGCTGACTCCCCTTCAGACGCAGTTCAGTGTCAGGTGTCAGCTCCATCTCACTAAAGAAGTAGGGGAGGGAAAGAGACTGCCTCCGGAAAATCCAAGCTGTCTGCACACCAGCCTCCTTCTCTCCGGCTGTCTGAGCGGCCTGAGAACTGGAACTTCAAGCATGGGGGAAGCCCATCCATCACATCAGCTCCTAAGTGTCCAGCCAAGAAACCCAAGCCTCACACCTCGAACACAGACACTGCTGTCAAAATCGTCGGATCTGTTCACCATGATGCAGTGCTAAATGTTACCTGAGAATCTCATCCAAGCATCGAAAACAATTCTGGTCACATCTGTCTGCACAATTTCATTTACTCAAATTGATGTTTGAAAACATAAAAAGCTTTGGGAGAAGCCTTGTCTAACACAAACTATTGAATTTGTAACTGGGAAGCCGGAATCAATCCTGTTATGAATACTATAGGGGAGTACAATGACATCACGAGAGGGGTTTTCATTGCAAACTTGTTGGCAAAGAGAAGATCAAAGAAACAACCCGGATGTCCATAAACAGAGGACTGGTTAAATAAATTACATTTATATAGTGGAACACCACAGTTGTAATGCAGAACTAAGAAGCTCTCCATGGTAAATGAAAAAAAGCATACTAAAGAACAATGTAGATAATATGCTCCATTGTACAAAAATGGGCATATAAGGCAATATTTTCTTATAAATGCGTAAAAAGTTATTACATAATACATATAAAAGTACTAACAATGTTTACTTTTCCAGAAAAGGGAATAGGAACTAGACAGACACGAGGCATTCTAGTGCATTTTTTTTATACTTTTTAACCTTGGGGTAAATGTTACCTGTTCAAAATGAAAAAGTAGTATTATTTTTTTAAAGGTGGCTAAAATGAATTCTAAGCATTTAAAATCTCTATTTTACACTTAGCCATTGAGAAAACATAGTCAATCTGTGTTTCTTCCTTGGGGAATCTCGACAGGAATCTAAGCAACATGAGTTTTGTTGTATTTGACTACTCAGAACAGACTTATGTTTAAGGAGAAAAGAAAACACTGACATATTACTCTTCTAAGAGTGCATGGCTTCAAATGTAACAAAAGAGCTAATAAGCTACCACACTGCAGAAAAGCAAGTTGTGACCCCAATCTTCCGCTCCACATCCTGTGCTCCCAGAGGACCAAGTCGCACCACGTGGTAGCAGACGACCAGTCTGAGCATCCCTCCGCCCTCTGTGCTCAACCGAAGAGCAGAGATGATTCAAAAGTCTCCAGTGATGCTCGAAGCCCCAGTGCTCAGAAACACTACTATAACACAACAGTTTCCCTTAAATCCTACAGGATTCATTATTTACAGGAAATGAGCATAATGTGAACCAAACTTTGCCCTTATGTTCCATTTAATAACATAGCACCACTTTGATAAAGCAGCTCTACTTAAAGGCACACGATATTTTGTTTGTTATACCTCATAACAAGATATGTTCCGATTTCAAAGGAGCAATTTAATCAGAAACCTTTCAATTAAATGTTAACTTCTACATAGAATCTTGTCTCTCAACAAGATAATTAC